TAGTTATAGACTTATGTAAGCAAAAAAAAAAAAAAAAATTGGGGGGCCAAACCACTTTGTCAGAAAATTTAAAAAAAAAAACATTTCAGGACGGCCATATGGTGTTTAAGCTCATCGCATCAGGATTCAGAAAAACTTGATCTGTAAATAAAATCATCATTTTGTGGCTGTTCCCTAGAAATTAATCATTATCTTTTCCATTAATCATCTCTTTTTTTTGGTGCCATGGACAAAATGCTGAATTACAAATTCGGTTACATTTCGGCTTGGAGTTTGGGAATTTGGACTATGGCCCAGTCCTGTTTGTTTACATATACTTAATTTAAGGAAATAAAATTCATTTCAAAGCTTGATGAAATAATTATTTTATTAAATAAAGTTTTAGGGTGACAGTTGTCCTTTAAGCCAATATATGTGAGAGGGGCCATAACATTTACCCTTCGGCTAAAGCCCTTGGTCTTTTTACACCTATATGATTATTCACTAAAGTCCGAATAGCCCTGTGCCGAAAGGGACAAAATCATCCAGCTGCATTTGAACTGCAAATCCAGACATTATTCATGCAATTTAAAGGACCACTATAGGCACTCAGACCACTTCAGCTTAATGAAGTGGCCTGGGTGCCTGGTCCCTCTAGTTTTAACCCCTTTTGCTGTAAACATAGCAGTTTTAGAGAAACTGTTATGTTTACATTAGGGTTAATCCAGCCTCTAGTGGCTGTCTCATTGACAGCCGCTAGAGGCGGTTCCGCGCTTCCCACTGTGATTTTCACAGTGAGAAGACGCCAGCGTCCATAGGAAAGCATTGATAATGCTTTCCTATGAGACTGGCTGAATGCGCCCGTGGCTCTTGCCGCGCATGCGCATTCAGCCAGTGACGTCAGAAGAGGGAGGAGAGTCCCCAGCGCCGGAAAAAAGGTAAGGGATTAACCCCTTTTTTCCCTTCAGCGCCACGGGAGTGGGACCCTGAGGGTGGGGGCACCCTCAGGGCACTATAGTGCCAGGAAAATAAGTTTGTTTTCCTGGCACTATAGTGGTCCTTTAAGAGTGTCTGGTTTTTACAATTCAGGCCTGGATATGGTCCAGATTTAAGCCAGGCTGAACACCACCAGATGGCTGAGATCTGGATAGAATATTTAAAGTTGGGCCAGAGGCTTCAAATCCGGCCAATGCCAGCAGTCAGTGGACAAATGGTAACATAACCCTCGGCTGACACATAATTAGACCTTGTACTGCAGAGAGTTATTTAAATTTGAATTTGTGAATGTGTGTCCTGATGGATGTATTTGGTCCCCATTCAGCTTAAAACAGTTGCTTTCTTGAATCTTCCAGTTCCTATATTTTCTAGAGGATTCGGATTTGAAAGCGAGATTTTAATCTGGACACCGAATGCATCCAGGCGATTGCTATAGATTAACCACGAAATTCAGATCATATTAGTTTTCGAAAAATGAGAATTGCCATTGAGGTCAGAATTCAGTCATTTTCAGTGGATTTTGTCCAAAAATCTGGTGTTAAGTGAATAACCCACTAGTAATATACTTGATATTGGGAATTCAAATTTTAAATTAGAATAGCTTAACAATTCAGCAGACAATTAATTTATACAGTGTAACTATTATGGCCTAATTTGAAATCCACTTTGAATTTCTAACAATCAATTCACCCTGCCAAGAACATAACCTGCGAGTCTGATGTTTGAATGTGTTCATCGGTTGGTGCATTAACTAACTGAGCTATTGCATCTCCCACTAGACTTTCTGTGTATTGAAGGCATGATAGTAAATCGAAGATGTTTAAAATTTGTTTCCTCATACTAAAATGTCAGACATGAAACAGATCTGTTCCATATGTTCCCACTTGGCATTCTGATCATTCCTGGCGAAAGTAACTGTTTCAAGCTCAGAGTGGATGTGATTTTAAAAATGGACCAAAAAAAGAAATCAATCAAACACGTGAAATATGTTATTCCAGTTTTACCAAATTATGAATGTAAATACATATAAAATATTTTATTAATAAAACTTAGAAGGTCACTGCAAGCACTATAACCACTACATGTAATTGGTTTTATTATTCTGTGGACACCATCCTCCTTTTCTCTGTCAAACTGTATTCAAATAGTTTGACAAAAAATCGTGGGTCTCCCTGGCACCTTATTGCTCAGCCTCTCTGCTGCCGTATTGATGAGAATCCGATTGAACGCTCCCTGAGTGCTCTCACTGATGAGATCCATTTGTGCTGTGTGTATTTTCTACATTGATTATTACAGTCATTTAGGGCCCTGGATTGCCTGTGCATGACACTAGTATTTCCATATTTTACATGATCCCACGCAGTAGAATATTTTAAAAATAAAAAAAGTGTTGTTAACCTAAAGGCACAGGTGTGTCTACCTGCAATCGTGATGTTATCATGTACTGTCTGATGGTAATAGTCAGCAGTGCGATCAGTCTGTATGAGAAAGATAAGCCATCTAAACTGGAAACATTCTTTAAGTCAGATATGTTCTAAATCGGCTATTTAATTCACAACAATTCATACCATAGTATAAATAACCCTGGCTGTGTCGCTGCCTTATGAATATACAATATGAAAAGTCTACATTGGAAAAATGCAGCTGAAGTGAGGGTACTCACTCCATTTTCACTCAATTTGAAAATGTGGCACTTTGACAGTTAACAAGCTGTTTTAATCTGGTGAAATGTGTGTGTTAACCATATAACTCCCAAAATCGTGTCTTCGTGGGTTTACTCTCATTTATTTATTTATTTAATTTTAAAGCAATGTAAATAATAATAGCAAAGTATTTAACCAGGAAAGGCACATTCAGATTACTCTGGTTTTCAAGCATGTCCTGGGGATGTTACCGCAGCCCAACATCCAGACGTTGTTACTATTACTCAATTTAATGGTACTTATTTTATCTACCTCGGAAGGATGAAGGGCTGAGTCAACTCTGCAACGCAAGGGTTGAACAGATTTTACTGATAATGCATTAGCCCACTGAGATATCTCACCGGCATATAAGTAAAATAAAATGTATCTCATAAAAGCAAATTTGCCCTGGTATTTAATCACAGAAAAACCCATTTCTCTGCCTGGGACCATTAGGGAGTATTTAAAGTGATCTACACCCATTTAAAGGTACATGCTTACTGGCAGCAATGAGGAGACACAGGACCACTTAGAGATATCTTTCGATCTCCCTACTAGTCCACGAAGTTGCTGGACACTCATCTGCTCCAGCTGCAGTGTTACCTGGGCGCACCCCACACAATCATATTACATACATGAAACTTAAAATATGACAGTTTTAGGTATCTGTGAACTACTGTCATTATACAATATTGAATTTGTTCTGTGTTTGTGTACCAGCGTCCTATGTTTTAAATAAATATATTTTTTATTAAATTGAAAATAGATTGGTTGTGAAGGGGTTAATAATTTGGTGTCCATTTTTACCCTAATTTTTGGAAATCCCCTTAATAAGAGTGAAAAACTGTCAAATGCAAACTGGACCTATACTGTTTTAAAATCAGATGAATTTTGGTGTGGGCATAGAAAAGGTGAAGTCGGAGGGGCGAAGTGTCAAACCAGCTCAAAGGGAGATCGGTGCTGGAATCCGGTGAGTACAGTAAGGGTTTTTTAGCCCTAACAGTGTAGAGTGGAGGGGGTGCACATGGGAGGGGAGAGGCAGAGGGAACTATAGTGCTAGGAATACTATCTGTATCACTGTATCCCTTTAACTATTCGCAAAAAGCTAACCTGTTTTCTAAGATAGTTTTTGGTGCCTTGTATACTTCATTTTGCAGTTTGACTCAATACAGGTTGATATTCCTATATAGTTTCAAACATTTAAATATATACTTTTGATATCTGTAAAAGAATGATTGATCAGAGAAAATGTATTGCAAATATTTACAAAACTAACATGTTTGAATACAGCTTTAGGCACACTGTTTGTTATTCTAAAAGCAGATAGAAACCTTAAAGGGAAACTCTCACTTTTCAGGATTTCGAATATTATATTTACTTATCATTATATGCAACAAATATATATTTATGATATGTGACAAATAAAAATATATGTCGAAATTCTCAAATTTTTATCTCGTGTCTGGTTGCCTCCATCTCAATCGTTGTTAAAAGCTTTATCTTTGTATCTGGCCATCAGCATAGCGAAAGCATACAGAGCAAAGGAGAATTCAAAAAAATCAGGGTTGGTCACTAAAGTCAGAATTCAAAGTGAATTTCTAATTTTATGGCCAGAGTAGCCAAACTGAAATTATACCTGGCTTATAGAATGTTTCCATTCGGATATATTTACCTTGAATTTACAATTCAATTTTAATTCTCACTTTGTTTAATAACTCTGAATAGTTCTTTTTGTTCCTCACCTGCAACCCGTACCTTCTATTTGCCTTGTCTGACCTGGGTTATGATGTCATTTCTAATATATTTCATAAAAATTTTAATTAAAATGGACTATGTCTTGAAAAAAGCATAACATGAGTTATAGGTGATTTTCAATGTTCTATTCAAAGGTGTAAATTCTAGAGCAGTTAATTATTTAGGCCATTTAAAAACTTTCACCATGCTCCATGACCTATATTTCTCAGTGCTAAAGAGATCAGAACAATTTCTAAATGGCTTTGGTCGGGAAACACAGTTATATTTTTATTCACCCTTTATGTTATGCAACTTCTGTAGGGCAAATCATATCCGATCATTTTTGCTTCTATTAGCAGAATAAATATAGACTGTGTTTTTACATGTTATCTGACCTACATCTCAACTTTTTGTTGTGGTTGTGTGCTATTTTCAAAACTTGAATAAATTCAGATATCACATTTCAGACACACAGTTGCCTTTCAAGAACCAGCTTCTCTAATTCAGACTCATTTTCACTGTTAGACACATGGCATAAAGTCTTTGGTCATTTTTAATATTTTTCTGCATCCACATTCCAATACTTTATATGTCCATGCATGATTACTTCCTGTTTGTAAGCAGTCCTGTTTCACATCTTCAAGCACAGCCTGGTTGTGTAGTCTGACGAAAAAAAAAAAAAACAGGAGTGAATGGTGGAGTATACACAACACAGACAGGTGACGTTGGTTTGCAAAGAAATTATGACCCAGTGATGGATCTTGTCTACCTGCCAAAAGAGTTTCAGAAGAAAACAGAACAGAACAGTGAAAGTGGATGCACTAAAAAGACAGTGACCCAGAAAGTAGCAGGAGGGACAACGCAAGGGTGAGTAGCTGAGTAAATGTAACTTTGCTGTCAAATCTCAACTTGCTTGGTCCCTCCTGCACTGGATCATGAGACTTGCTTTTGTATGTCTCTGCCTGTTCCTGATAAAGCTGGCTTTTTGCCAGAACACACACAACTGTACAATACGTTCGAGATATTCAAAGTGTGATTATCACAGACTTCTTTATTTCACAAACATGTCCGAAGTAAGTTATTTCCTCGAGTGAAATTCTTTCGTACACGTAAATTCCGTGTTTGTTCTTGCGACGTTTTTAGTCTGCTCATCGCAGTCTGTTTTTAAGTCACTTAAAATGGTAAATTACAACAGTATACTTTTGTTTGTTTGTTTTCCAGATCCCCGTAAAAGATAATTTCAGAATCCTGCTTTACCATCATCATTTTATAAAACTGAAAGTAAGTGCATTGGGGGTTTTATGTGCAAACTGGCATACCTAATTTAGAATAATTTTGTAAAGCCATGTCAGTTTTTCTAACCTTATACAATCTGCAGAATCACGGATACAAAACAATTCATCTGGAAGTATTTATGTTTTATATAACTGGTTTACGTAAAGTATTTAACCTCGTCACTGCTAGTAATGTGTTTACACATTCTTTCTATCGCTTGGTCACTTAATAGGAGCCTGCATGGTTCATTATGTACAGTTATACTAAATAGCAGCCAAGGAGAAGAGGAGTTATGAAGCATTATGGGTTCACTTCAGGGTACATGTACAAGTTGCAATATCAGTTGCAATGTCTTATGAAATGCAGTTGCCTGGTTTAAGCAAGTGGACAGTATTTAGTTTCTGTGAGCATTATTATCACATACAGTCGTCATTTTTGCATCTTAGTGGAATGTTTAATTCACATTCCTATAAATACCAGCATATTCTTAACAAACACCCACTAACATGGTATGTCCAACTAAAATGCTCAATTTATTATTATAGAATAAAGCAAAGAACATACAAAACAACAATGCAATGCATAGCTATTAAACAAAAAGTAAATTTTTTTTTCCCACTGAATTCACCCAATCTTTTATAAGTTGCATTTTATTTCAACTTATATTGTTGAAAATTATAATATTCCATGTGTGTGAGTGTAACAATTTTCAAATTCTTAAAAGTATGGAATATATATTGATATCTACATGATATTTCTTTTTTTTGTTTGTTTTGTTTTTTTGTTTCTCAAAGCTTTTATTGGGTGCAATAGTCAAATACAGTAGAACAGACTCGCAGCGATATTGGAATAATCAACACTTAGAGCAGTAGTAGGCTATTATACAAGTATGTAGAGTAAATGTGTAAAACTAACAGGGTATGTCAGCTTTTTATTATTATTTATTATCCAGTTTTGCTCATGGTTATCCACTGAAGTGTCAGTAGGTATTCAGTGTGAATTCAAAGTGAATTTCAAATTGAAGTCCTAAATAGCTAAATTGAAAATATAGGCAACTTGGCCTAAATTTGAAACTAGTTTAAGAGACACTATTTAGAGAATATTCCTGTCTGTGAACTAAAAAATGTCTAATTATTTTTCCAATAGAAAAAAAGGAGTAGGGTCGCACTCGGCCACAATGTTTCAACCCAGGGTGCTACTGAGCATGGGTCAGCAAACCCTAAGAAATATACATGAACAAGAAAATCTCAGGCACTCACTGCGATTGCTTCCAGGCAGATTTATTGCAACGTTTCGACCTGTTAAGGTCTTTATCAAGAAAAAGAGATTTTTTTTTTCATTTAATTATTTTTCCAAGTGAATTATTCAGAGTTTTCAATCTTTGATACTTTAGAAATCCCTATTATTTCAATGGACAAAAAAAAAAAAAAACTACCAATGATTTATATATTAATAATTATTAGGTATCTCTGGACAGCATTCTATTTGTAGGAGTATTGCATTATCCTGATACCATATGCCAATTATGCATTTCATATCAAAATGTGCTCTTTTTATATAAAACACCAAACAAACACTTATGGTAAGAGATTAAAGTTTACTTTCTCTGTGTATTTTATGTATTTATATTTAATATTGTTGGTTTCATACACCTCCTTCAGTGGCAGAGATTATCTGGAATTTCCAATGCCCAGTTTCAAGATTGTACATTAAAAGGTTTATTTACTAAATTAATTTACAGTTAATTTCAAATTTGATGTTCTTGTAACGTAGCCTAACTAGACGTTTAATGTCTTTTCCAGAATCTTGGACCTTAACCCCTTAACGACGAGTGACGGACGAGGTCCATCACTCAGGGGAAAGCGTTAATGACGAGTGACGGACGATCGTGGGGTTAACGCTGTTGCTGGGTGCCTCCGAGTCAGGGGCAGACCAGCAGCAACAAATCCTGGTATCCCAGCCCATGTGATCGCTGTGACAGCCAGTCACAGCGGTCACAATGCTGCTGGGATATCTGATCCGCCTCCCTCCACCCCGTGTGTGTGTTTGTGAAGTGGAGAGCGACGAATCGTTGCAACATTGTGTCCCAGAAGAATAGTTAAGTTCTATTAAAAGTTCCTAATCCCTTTCCCCTTTATTAAAAAAAAAAAAAAATAACCCTTTCCCTGCTGCTTGATCACTGCTAGCAGTGATCAATATACAGGTCACAGTACTTTACTGTGATCTATTTTTTTTTTTTTTACTTTCAAGGGTTAAATTTTATGTTTTTTGTAACCCAAAGGGGTTAAATTTTATTATTTGATTTTATTAATTTGTGGTTTATTTACTTGGGTGGGTGGAATTTAGTGGAAATTAGGGAATAAAAAAAAAAAGAGTGACGCAGGGAGTGACGCAGGGGACGCAAGGGATAGGGACTATATGCCAGATACTGCAGGACCATCAGGGGAAATCGACAATTCCCCTAATGCTGAACATGGCGCAGATGACTGGGTACCCCCAAATAATTTTTCCCCAGACATCCCAGTGTTTACAGCTAATCCTGGCGTACAGGCTGACCTGTCTGGCTATAGTGCGCTGGATGTTATGCAGCTGTTCTTCGGGGATGAGATTTTTGGGTAGATAGTCACCCAGACTAATCTCTATGCGGAGCAGTATCTGGCACGCAATCTAGACTCTCTTATCTCGAGGAAAGAGAGATGGAACCCAACCAGTTTGCCAGAATTGAAACAATTCTGGGCACTGACCATGTTAATGGGGCTAATTAAAAAGCCCACAATTAGTATGTATTGGTCTAAACATCCTATTTGCAATACCCCCATTTTCGCAGAGACCATGATGAGGGAAAGATATGAAGACATACTGCGATTTATGCACTTTAGTGACAATAACAAGTGCCCCCCAAAAGGTGATCCGCAGTATGATCTTCTTTATAAAATATGCCCTTTAAATGCCCACTTTAACAGTAAATTTGCCACTATATATATATACCCCCAATAAAAACATTTCCATTGACGAGTCCCTCATGAAGTTTAAGGGAAGACTGGGGTTTAGACAATATATCCCATCCAAAAGATCCTGATATGGGATCAAATTTTATAAACTGTGTGAAAGTGGCACTGGCTACGGATACACCTTCCGTGTATACGAAGGAAGGGATAACCACCTTGATCCCCCAGGTTGCCCACATATAGTAGGGACAAGTGGGAAAATTGTCTGGGACTTAATAATTCCATTCCTAATAAAGGTTATCATTTATACATCGATAACTTTGATAATAGCATCCCACTGTTAAAAATGTTGTACTGCTTCGAGACCGTGGCCTGTGGCACTATTCGGAAGAGTCGCACAGGTTTCCCAAAGGCTCTAGCGAACAAAAAAATGAAAAGGGGGGAAACAGCAGCTCTCTGCCAGAATGAACTGCTGGCACTCAAGTACAGGGATAAAAAGGATGTTTTCATCTTAACCACCATCTATGGTGAAAACATCCGGAGTGTCGCAGTTCGTGGCAGAGAGGAATGTAAACGAGTGCCAGTCTGCATATGGCAATATAATCGGCATATGGGGGGCGTTGACCTGTCCGATCAACTGATGCAGCCGTATTTGATCATGCAAAAGACCAGGGCATGGTATAAAAAAGTGGGCATATATCTGATGCAAATGGCAATCCACAATGCCTTTGTCATTTTTAAAAAGGCAAATGCTGGGCTGAAAAGCACTTTTCTTTCATTCCAGTTTGAGCTCATTTCTGGGCTAATTGATTGCCACACAAGGAGACCATCAGTGGAGCCTAGCAGAAGAATGGAGGCAGGTCACTTCTGCTTTAAGATTCCACCAACCCCTAAAAAACAAAACCCCCAGAAAAGGTGCAGGGTGTGTTACAAGAGGGGCATAAGAGCTGAGACCAGCTATTACTGCCCTGATTGCCCCTCTCAGCCCGGCCTATGTATAGGCCACTGTTTTAAAAATTTTCAAACCGAATAAGTAGACCAGTTTTGGGGTGTGATTTTTAGTCATCTGTCTGATACGTTACCGAATCTTGGCTTTGTCTCCAGCTTATCCTGTCTTCTCTGATCCTTGACCTCGGCTTGTCCTATCGTTGTTCTGTTTCTCTTTACTTCTTTGACCTCGGCTTGTACCTTGACAATTCTCTGCTTTGCCCGGGACGCAGATGACTGGGTACTACCCCCGGATAAGTTTACCCCAATTATTCCCCCTTTTCACAGCAAATAGTATGCACTTGTTCATAATTTGAATTGATGAGCTGCTTATACTTAAAATATATGTGGCGTTTGAGAGGTAATTTGCAGTCCTGAGCTGCTAAAATGAGACTTTGGCCCAGCATCCACTTTTGAAAAATATGGAAGTGGTGTGTCTCCAATGTGCCCCTTCAACATCCACATAACCCTGAGAAAGGTACACATGGGGGTATCGTTGCACTAAGATGACATAGCTGAGCAACATATTAGGTGTTATACTGCCGTAGCACACATAAGGATTGCAAAATATACAGTAACATCTCCAAGTGTGTGTCAAAAAGGCAGAAAAAATGCTAATTGCAACTAGACTTGGTACAAACTAACAAAAAAATGATCCTACACTAAGGTTTAGAATATACCTTTTGAAATACCCTGGGGTGTCTACTTTAAGAAATGGTAGGACTTTGTGGGGTAGTTTGAATTTAAAACCTGCTAAGATGCTTGTTAATTGCACATAGGCCCAGCGTCAAAATTCAAAGTTCGGTAAAAATTGATATGGCTTGGTCTCCTATATGGCACTGTAGCTTCACAAAATAGTGCCAAAGACATACAATGGGGGTGTCCTTTTACTCAGAAGACTTAGTTGAGCATAATGTGGGGGGTTTGAACTTAGTGGCACATGTGAAATATACAAAATGCCCAGTAAAAATGCAATCCATATGTAAAAAACGCACAAAATTATTTTTTACCACATACTTTGGCATCTATTGGTGAAAAAATGGGGGCATGTTAAGGCACAATATGCACCTTATGAGATACCCTGGAGTGTCTACTTTTACAAGTGGTAGGCCTTTGTGGGGTTTTTTAACAGTCAAACTGTTATAATACCCCAAATGGAAGCATAGGCTCATTAAATCCGTCTCTCAAAATTCTACTGTGAGTACTGAAAAGGACAGGTCTCCTATATGGCACTGTAGCTTCACGAAATAGTGCCAAAGACATACAATGGGGGTGTCATTTCACTCAGTAGATGTAACTGAACACAAAATAAAACTTTGTACAGGAATAGCACACACCAACTTTACAAAATACACACAAGAAGTTCTTTGTTAAAAGTTTGTTTTCCAAAAAAAAAAAAAAAACCCACAATTTTACTCCAATATTTAGCAGAGGTTGGCAGTGAAATGGCTACGTAGAAAGTGTCAAAACAACCCTAGGTAAATAGCCTGTGATGTCTACTTTATATAAATATATACTTTTGTGTGGCAATTTTGTTTTCTTTTATGGCTATTAAGCTTACAAGACAAACATACCAAATTCTAAAATCGCTCCACATTAAAAGTTTATTTTACTCCTTGTGCTTTGTGACCTGTAACTACCAAAAAAAACTTAAAATCCCAGACACATTATATATTCTGTAAATCAGAACAACTAAATGAATTTATTTTTAATTACTTTTCTTAACCTGCACTAATTATGCACACATTATTATTGCAAAAACTGTAAAAAAAAAACACACAAATTTTCATTTGTTTTTGCATATTTCTGTATTTTTTTATAATAAATAAGCATTTATATATATATGTGTTACATCAAATTAAAACCCTTTCTGTCCTTTAAAAAAACGGTATATAATATGTGTCGTTGCTATAAATTAGTAAAATGTAAATTGCAGTTGAATGCAAACAGCAAAAAATGCAAAAAAATGCTGTTGTCATTAAGTGAAAGACAAGCTTCTGAACCTCTGTCCTTAAGGGGTTAAATATGAAATTTGCTTTGAATGCTCGACAGTTCTACTTTAGAAACGTATATATTTATATATGAGTCATTTTCACTATCTAGGTATACTTATTAAAACAGACAATGGTGTCCTGTTCTCTAAGCATCAAATATTTCCTCTAACACCCAAACAGCCCAAAAATAAATCACTTTTGTTTGAATTTACTCATTCTAGTAATGATGACAGATTTGTTTATGTGGTGAAATTTGTAGCATTAAAGGATTTATGCAATTTAATAAAAATGTCATTCAAACCTAAGGGCAAAAAATATTAACTGAAAGCATAGTTGACAATGCGATTTAAAAAATAAATAAAAAATGTATTGAGTAGAGCTATTTTGGCCTTAAATTTTTTATTTACTTTCTGTCACAGTTATTCAATAAAGTGAGAACTGTCCAAGTGAATTAAGAGTAAATATTCATATTTTTTTTTACATTTATGACAATTCTCACTTTAGCAAATGTGACAGGGTTATTCATTAACGTGACAAATGTCAGAAATTCCAAGTGAATTTCAAATTTAAGGCCATAATTTCAATACTGGAAGAAATCTCCAATGCTGCTGTGATTCCAGTTTAACTTTTGTTTACCTTAAATTTGATAGTCACTTTGAATTCCCAACAATTCTCATTTTAGTGAGTATACCTCTGAATCTTTATAAACTCTAATGTTTAAGATTTTACGCATCTACCTGTGTATATCGTAGTGTATTGAGGAGCAATCTTACAAATGACAGCCATGGATGACCCATTGACCTTACCTTCTTCCTTTTTAACTTGTATCATGAAAAAGCCATAAAACATCAAATAACTGTTCTATATCCATATTCTCATGCTCTTTATGATTATATTTATCTGACGTGATTTTTTAAATTGCAATTATTTGTTCATTATTCAATCTGGTTTCATTGTCTATTCCATTAACATTTTCCTAATCAATGTGACTGATGATTTATTTACCACTAAATAAAAAATGTGTTACTCTCTTTTCATCCTCATCAAACTCTTAGGTGCTTTTGACAATACACTCAACATACTCCTTCTTTAAAGCCTTTGCAACCTTGAGCTTTGATACATTGTCCTTTATTGGTACTCGTCTGGCCAATCCTAATATTCCATTTTTGGAATCACCACCTTCGTACCGTTTGTTTCAGTTGGAGTCCCCCAAGGCTCAGTTATTGGCCTTATTCTGTTTTTCTTTATTTTACATTTCTACACAATCTGGTTATTTCCGTTGGCTTTCAGTAGCACCTTTATTCTGATAATACATACATATCCTTTCAGGGAACATATCACTTACTGTCTTTCCTCTTCCTCTAACCAAATGGCAAAGCAATGCCTGAAACTCACTATTTCCATAACTCTGCTTTCTATCTTCCCTCCATTTCAAAACTACCTCTACATTGTAGCTGTCTATATGCATTAACCCAACCATCATAAACTCATTACCTTGGTGCACGTCATGACTAATCGTATGTTTGCTCTCCATATCCAGTCCATCTTAATATCCTGTAATTTCCATCTTATTGGTTATAGTTGGCCTACTTTAATATGTGAATAAGGTACTTCTTTATGTGCTTATTCCCTGCCCACATTGCTCCAATGCAATTTGTAATGCTGTTACCAGGCTTATTCTCCTTACTTGCCTCTCCTCACATCCATCATTACTCTTCCAATGATAACACCAGACTCTCTAAGATCTAAGTGAAATTAGTGACCACAACAAAGCTCTAAACAACTCTAACCCTCAATAAATTTCCTTATTATATTTTCTAATTCATAAGCACGCCACTTCTTGATCAATCAGACATTTATCTCTGTTCACACCTGTATTGCTAGACTTTATCTACGGAACTACCAAGGGCATCTCCACACCTAAGGAACAGCCTATCTCTTCCTACAAGACTTTCTCTTACTCTCTAGCCCTTTAGGACGACCTTGAAAAGTCTTAATCTCTATACCGAAGCTTATTGTATTCCTGGGAAATGTATCTCTTTATACCAGTCTTCCCCAACTCTCCTCACATAGTTGGTGTTTTCACATAGTCCATTTCATCTTCTAACTTTTCTAGTCTCTGGCTTTCCCACACGTTTCCTTTATGTGTTTCATGCAATTTAACTAGATACAGTCATCATTAATGTGATCTGAGACTTATTATTATTATTATTATGATGATATTTATAGAGCGCCGTCAAATTCCGCAGCGCTTTACAATGGGTGATCGAACAGACATGTAGTTGTAACCAGACAAGTTGGACACACAGGAACAGAGGGGTTGAGGGCCCTGCTCAATGAGCTTACATGCTAGAGGGAGTGGGGTAAAATGACACAAAAAGGTAAGGATAGTATTAGACTAGTGACAGTATCTCATGATGTTCTTGCTGTTATGTTTTACACCCTACGCACTCCTATATTTTAAGCCTGTATGAGCAGGGTTGTCCTTGCTTCTTTTTTTCCTTGCCACGTGTTGTATATCCCTATTGGGAAATTGGAAAAATGCTCCTAATTATCTTGGCATTATATAAGTGATTATAATAATCGTTGTTTTGACAACGGTTCTTCACATTGGAATAAAAGTTATTTTACATTTCAAATCTCAATTGTTGTTTTTTTTTCTCTGATGCGATCAATCTTTTCACATACTCTCCCTTAAAACGTGAAATATCATTCATATTGTATAATCCATGTTTATCATGATTTCTTCCAGGTAAAACAGAAAATATGTCTCTTGAAGAGGATACTTGCTTTTTATGAACTGGTTTTTGAAAAAGTGTTTACTACAAAAGTCCCCGTACAGACCATTTATGCTGTTAAAGACCTTCTGCAAGTGCTTGGTGGCCGCTGTCTTAAATGTGTAAGTCTGCTTTACCACTAATTCTACCATATAATACTCGTATAATCATAGGCGTGCACGGCCTATTGTATAAGGGTGTGCACACTAAGGCACAAACACACACGCCGCGTGTGTGTATATATATATATATATACACATACATATATACACACACACACATATATACTGCTGTGTGTGTGTGTGTGTGTGAGGGTGCTGTGTGTAGGTGCTGTGCTGTGTGTGTGTGTGTAGGCACTGTGTGTGTGTGTGCAGGCGCTGTGTGTGTGCAGGCACTGTGTGTGTGGGCGCTGTGTGTGTGGGTGCTGTGTGTGTGTGTAGGCGCTGTGTGTGTGTGTAGGCACTGTGTGTGTGTGTGTGTGCAGGTGCTGTGTGTGTGCAGGTGCTGTGTGTGTGTGAGGGTGCTGTGTGTGTGTAAGGGCTCTGTGTGTAAGGGCTCTGTGTGTGAGGGTGCTGTGTGTGTGTGAGGGTGCTGTGTGTGTGAGGGCGCTGTGTGTGTGAGGGCGGTGTGTGTAAGTGTGAGGGCGCTGTGTGTGTGTGGAAGGGCGCTGTGTGTGTGAGGGCGCTGTGTGTGTGTGAGGGCGCTGTGTGTGTGTGCTGTGTGTGAGAGCGCTGTGTGTGTGAGAGCGCTGTGTGTGTGAGGGTGCTGTGTGTGAGGACGCTGTGTGTGTAAGGGTGCTGTATGTGTGTGTAAAGGTGCTGTATGTGTGGCGAAAGTAACCTCGCCACTGGTTTTTGGAGGGGCCTGTTTTCCAGCCTCCTGCCCTGTGACTCTGGCCCCATGTTGAAATGCTTGATTTTCCCCTGCAAAGACCCGAAAGCCGAGTCATTCGGTACTTTCCCTATGTGAGCAGTGTTACCCCAGATAGCTATGCCATGGAGCCCATACGTATAACGAAAGACTATGTGAAAGACTTTGGCTCCATGGCAATTGAACTGTATGTATGTGATCTGAGCGCCATTCAGTAATAATGTGCGCTCAGATCTAAGCTATCTGGGGATATGTTGAATGTACCTGTTTTATGCAATAGCTGCACAGTTATATATTTTTATGTATTTTATTGTATTTTGCTACCATGTGGCTAATGGAGTTTTGCCTCTGTCCTTGGAGATAATTGGATTACTTCCCAATTATCTCCAGGATAGAAGACTCTGTGGAACTGGTTTTGGGCAGAAAAGCCAAGCTTCATTTGGTCACAAAGGACATTGATCTAACTTTTGACCCACTGGACCAATTTGTTTGATTTTGACGTATGTTGGTATTTGGAGTATGCTGATTCTGAAAATGTAAGTGAATGTTTATGTGAATGTGATGCATACTTTTAAAGTTATGAATATTGTGTAAAACTGTGTATTTTCCTGCCTGTGATAATTATATTAACCCATAGTGCAAGGTAATTGTATCACAGGCAGAGGGGAGGATTTTGTGTGGGAGTATCTGAGTGTATTGTACATGTTTATTGGTTGTTTTACAAAATCCTGTGGGTGGTACTAATGTGTGCGAATGTGTATATAAGAACAATAAACCCACAGTTCTGTCAGTTCTACTTCACCCTCAATCTAGAGTCCTGTCTATTATTGGGGGAATTGCTATATCACTACAAGGTATTGCTATGCTCTGCATACTCCCTTAGCTAATCACTACTAAGCTCTTTTAAGAGCTTGTTCCTGCTTCATTCTCTTGGAGGAGAGGTTCACCCACTGGAACCTTGTCATAAATCCAGTGTGGGTAGGAGACGGCGAGACCCCAACCAAGCTGCGGCGGTTCGTGGGGTCTACGGTGGTTGTGGTGTCTGGCAGAGCGCTTGGAGCCCTCTGTAAGCGCTAGAGCATCCTTCAACAGAGGTACCCATACATGGCTACTCACTAAGCACTGGATTTTATCTGAATGGACAACGGTAATTGTTAGTAATAAAAGGGGGATGTCCTTAATACCCTAGCTGCCCATCAAAAAAACAAATTACCCTACCTACTCCCATCACCCTAATAATAGTGAGGGGGGCAATTAAACTAATGCCTGTTGACAAAAATTACACTTACCATCAGCGCGCTCTGACAGCCAAGTCTCAAGAGAAGTGAGACTTCTCTCGAGACTTGGTTGCCAGAGGGTTCTGATTGGTTGGCGTTTCCCACAATTTGCAATAGATGAGTTAGTGTGAGAAAGCCTCTCCATGTTTTAATTTTTAGTTGAAATATAATATGTACATTTATCTGTGCCCAAATAGGAATCATTGTTGACTTCCAATTGGTTGCTAGTAATAATTTAGCAGCCACCAAAACGTATTATGCTAAATAATTTTTTAATGGAATTAAAATGTATCCACACCCAAGTGTAAAATAAAAAAAAAAAATCAGGTGTAAAGTTTATAGAAAGTTCACATAATTTAGAGATCTTGTGCAAGTTGTCATCCAAAAATGTTGTGCTGGTAGAGAATACCACCACAAATGCGCAATAGCCCCTTTTTTGAGTCTTACATTTCCAAAAGTTATTTGATAAATCTGAAAAGATTTTCCCCAATCGACCATCTGTTTAGCATTTTAAAATATGCCTCCATTAAATTTAAAATGTATACTGTTTTATATATTGTTCTTAGATACTTTACCCAATCTGTGTGATCAATCTTTATTTTTAAATCACTCTCCCATTTCTCTATTGCTTGTGGAACAATAGTAGAGTTGATTAGTCTCCATGTTCCCACACATTGTGAGATAGCATTTTTCATAACTTTCTGGGTCATAAGTGATTCAAATTTTTAGTAACCTCAGGCGATCTCTCCTTAATTAAATGTTTTGGTAAAAATTCCTTAATTCTTAGGTAGGAGAAAATCTCTTTACGTGATGTGAAACTCTTGAGTTAGCTGTTCAAAGGTTTGGGCAAATAGTCTGGATTAATTTTAGTTCCGTGCCAGAATTTTATTCATATGAATTTCAGCCACCCAGCGGTGTTCAGTATCACTGAAATCAGCACTAAATTTAGGCCTGTTCGGTGCCTGATTTACAAAAATCCATACAAAATCTAGACAATGCTGAATTTCATCAAGAATGCCTGGATATTGCAGTCCATTCAAACTTTAGCGAAAAACCCTCTTAGTATTTTCAAATTGTTAATCATATTACTAATATTGTTTTTTACATTCATTAAATGCAATGTGACTATTGGCAAAATGACTATTCTCTCTGAAGTGCCATTTTTATTTGTCTTTCACTTATTTATTTTTATTTTATTTATTATTTTTATTTTTTTACAAATAAGCTGATTTGTAATGGAAAGTCGAGCATGGAAAGTCAGACATAATCAGATACAAGGAGCGAAACCTGACAAAAGCAAACTGGGGACAGTCCCAGAATTTTAAAAACATTATGCAAGTTCATTTCACTTATGTGAGACATAAAATCCCTTAATTCTGTCAATTCATCACATTTAGTAAACATTGCATTGCCCACACATTCCTGCTTGTGATGTAACACATCGAGTTGTTGGTGATTAACTTTTTTTCAATTACTGTCAAAATATTTGCCTGATATAAGGAAGTGCATCCGCTGTTTGTTTAAACGTTTGCAGCACATGCAGTAATTGGAACAGCACACTTCAAGTCACATTCCTAAAATATCTTTCTTGGCACATACTAGTGAAAGACAGTGAGTTGTATGAAATGTACTTAGACAAAAAAAAAAAAATCCATAGTGCAAATTTATTCATATGTATACATTCTTGCAAAAAAAAAAAATAGTAACAACTCAATTAAAATTGCCAATATTAAATGAGTTCATTTAATACAGGCAATTTTAATTGAGTTGTTACTATTTTTTTTATTTTTTTTGCAAGAATGTATACATATGAATAAATTTGCACTATGGATTTAATTAAGTTGTTTTGAGGGCTGGAGTTCCTGAGAGTGACTTGTATGACTGTTCTCTCACTTTTTTGGTCAGTGAAGCAGCAGAAACCTTTTGTGAAACATTTGGGCCACAGTTATTGACTAAGAAGATTTCCTTTATCTGTATACACGATTTATTTTATATTTGATTGTAAGCACATTTTAGGAGCAGGGATCTAGTGGTAAAAGGAAAGATTCCACCATATATTGTCTTCCCTAATAAGTATTTAAGTCTCAGTAGGCAATGCAGTTGTAAACACAAAATGTCAAGACGTACAGATACAATAACACTGTTAGATTTTAATTGAAAATAACAAAGATAAGCCTTGATTTAGTAAGCATTCCAAATGATTCAATATTGTTAGAAAAATTAATTGAACTACTTATCTACAAAAAGTCCCGTAGACTTTAATGGTGTTTTCTGTAGATAAATATTTTGGAAAGTTTTTCAATCTTTTAGATTCATTTGGAAAGCGTATTAATTTGAGGTCCTTGGCCTCAATTTAATATTGTTTAATAAGCTTTCCAAATGATTTATTATTTTTGGATAAACTTTTACAATTATTTTTTCAACATATTAAAACATCAAAAAAAATCATAAATTAAAAATATATAAGTATAGCAAAAAATATCAACATACTACAAAATTTAATTTTTTTTTATAATAACAAAACATTTTAAAAGTTTATACAAAAATAGTAAATCATTCTGAAGAGCTTATCCAAAAATATTAAATCAAGGCACATGGCCTCAATTAAATATTGTTGGATATAGTTTCCAAATGATTTAATCTTTTTGGAAAAAGGTTTAAAATGACAAAATGTTATAAAAACATTTTAGTTTTGTAATAATTTGATATTTTTTGCTATATTGATATATTTGTAATGCACAATATATTTTTTGATGTTTTAATACGTTAAAAGAATCATTTTAAAAGTTTATCCAAAAATAACAAATCATTTGGAAAGCTTATCAAGCAATATTAAATTGAGGCCAAGGGCCTCAATTTAAAATTGTTGGGTACATTTTCCAAAGGATTTAATATTTTTGGATGGATTTTTAAAATGGTTTATCATTAAAAATATTTACATTTTGTAATATTTTGATATTTTTTATACATAATACTTTTTTATATTCTTTTTTGATATGTTGAAAAAAATAAATGTAAAAGTTTATCCCCAAAAAATGAAATAATTTGGAAAACTTTTCCAACAGTGTTAATTTGAGTTCCTTGTTAGTTATTTTTTTTAGTTTAGCTATTTTGGTGGTGGTGGTTGGAAATTTTTAAGTTGGTGGGGCACCAGACTCCGTCCCCTGAATTTTACTCCTCCCTAAACAGTACAGAGATACTCATACAATACAGGGACCTAAGCGTAACACAGAGATGCACATACAATAAAATAAGCTTGGCACAACATAAAAATATCTATAACATACAGGGAACAATACAGAGATAACCTTAAGACAAACAGAGCTGAGAAAAAAATAGAGCTATAATACACAGAGCTAGGCATAATACAAAGATACATATACAACACACAGACCTGAGTAAACTACAGAAAAAACACATTAAACAGATTTAGCTGAGTAAAAAACATAGAGAAATAATACTCAGAGCTGGGCACAATAAGGCGATACTCATAACTATCCTACACAGCAAGGATCACTGTGCTGGATTACACAGAGCTCTCTCTTCCTAGCCCCCTCTTGGCTTTCCCTCTTATGATATCATGTTCACTTGTATTCCTGATGATAACTTTGGTTTTCTATTAACTATTACTGCTGTTGGGAAACATGTAAGCTGCTCCCTTAGATCTCAGCACACAAAGCAGCAGTATACTGATAGACTCCTTACTACCTTTACAGCTGGCAATATAATTAATCTGCAGTGGCAATATGGAGGCAAGAATAGCTGACATGATTAACACAACCAATAAACATTACAGATTAAAGAAGATTGAAATAAGAATCAGATCAGTCCTCAGAGTCAAAGCCCCAGTCCTGCAGTTTGAAGTTACACCACAGCATGAGCATCTCATGTCTCAGATGTAGTGACTAGGCACTTAAAGGTAGAGGTTGGGTATTTGTAGTAGGAGTTATTAAAGCTATTAGTGACAGGCAGTGCAGTGCTGTGTGTCAGAAATCCCCCCTCCTCTTGTCACCTCTTCCAGGGCATTATGTATATTAATTGTATAGATGAGCAAATTCCCCTTGCTTGATCATCCCTCAGGCAGTCACTAGGGCTATTGGGGAAGCGAAAAAGATAATATTATATACTTACATTTGGTAGAGACCAGGAACTGTTGCTGTGCTCTCTCTGTGTTACTTCTAAGATTGCTTCCTACTTCTCTATCCTTTTGGCACTGTATCCCAATCCCTTAAAGCTATCAGCCAATGATGGCCACTGAATAGAGAGACCAATAGAATGCCTCCACTCAACTCTGCTGGCCGCATTTGCAACTTAATGGGAATTCATTCTCAAAGGACACTAGACATGTGCTAAACCAGCAGAAAAAGGGCATATGTCAAACCTGCCCCAATTTACGGACATGAATAGGTGCTCTAGAGTAAGCTTTTCCAAACAGCTACCAATGAGAGGGGAGGAACTGAGCCCTATGACAGAATTAAAGAAACACTATTTTTGTCCCAAATATATTTTTTGCTTTTACCGCTGTCCACTCCAGAAAAAAAGAATCTTAGTGTTTCAAAGCTACTGCAAATAATTGTTCCCCACAAAAACGGGTAGGGTGCTGTCTCAAGTGCCCCTATGGACAAGCCTTGCGAGGACCTCGCGATTACATGGACGGCATTGCCGTCCAAGGCATTGCCAGCAGGGGTAGTGCCTGTAATGACAGGTACTCCCCCTGCTGCCTGAAAAAAAAAAAACAGTTTAAAACAGTGTAAAATTACATATATATACTTAGATCATATACATATTAGTATATATATGATCTAAGTATATATATATACACACATATACACAAACACATAAATACACATACATAGTCTTAGTGTATTTTAATATTAATATATATAATTATATATTTATAGATTAATATCAAAGTACACGTACAATGATATTGAATAAATAAATATATATATAATTATCATTATATAGATATTTATATATAATATAAAATAAATAGATATATGTAAATACGTTAAAAAATAAAATAAAAAAATAATTAAAATAAATATATATATATATATATATATGTGTAACTTTGTTCTGACTGTATTTTAAAATGAATATATTTATATTGATATCAAAATACACGTAGAATTTAATAGTATATGTATCTATATACATAAGTATAAGTTTTCCTGTTATTTTTTGACCCTAAAGAAAGTCCCGAACGGGAACTGAAACGTTGGTCACTATTTTTAAACTTCATTAAATAAAATTTCATTTTTTAAAGACCAGTGAGCAGCCATTTCTTTTTGGATACTGTGTCATATGGAGCTCTGGTTGATGCGCCCGGCAGTGAAGCGGTTAAAGCGTGAGTGCAGGGGATTTTTGCATTTTTATCTACATAAGTATATACGTATATATCACTAAATAAAAATAATTAAAAAAAATTATATACATATATATTTATATACATATATATATATATATACACACATGTATATATATAATAATTCTACGTATATATTTATGTAATAATTTTACATAATTAGGTCATTTTATTAATTACAACTTGCGGGACCTGCCTGACAAGGAATTTAATTTGCTAGCACGATGATATCGTCTGTGAAAGTGAAATCTTTTGCATTTTTTCATACACAAATGGCACTTATACAGACGATATAATTGTTGTGATACGTTTTACTGTTTTGAAACACTAATATTTGCGTTCAGCGAAGTCTCCTGAGTATAATAGTACCCCTCATGTACAGGTTTTATGGTGTTTTCAAAAGTTACAGAGTCAAATATAAGGCTTGCGTTTCAGTTTTTTCACATTGGAATTCGCCAGATTGGTTACGTTGCCTTTTAGACCGTATGGTAGCCCAGGAATGAGAATTACCCCGATGATGGCATACCATTTGCAAAAGTAGACAACCCAAGGTATTGCAAATGGGGTATGTCTAGTCTTTTTTAGTAGCCACTTAGTCACAAACACTGGCCAAAATTGGCGTTCAAATTAGTTTTTTGCATTTTTCACACACAAACAAATATTAACACTAACTTAGGCCAGTGTTTGTGACCAAGTGGCTACTAAACAAGACTGGACATACCCCATTTGCAATGCCTTGGGTTGTCTACTTTTGCAAATGGTATGCCATCATGGGGGTAATTCTCATTCCTGGGCTACCATATGGTCTAAAAGGAATGTAACCAATTTGGCGAATTTCAATGTGAAAAAACTGAAAAATGTAACATGCTATATTTGACCTTGTAACTTCCCAAAACACCATAAAACCTGTACATAGGGGCTACTGTTTTACATGTGAGACATCGCTGAATACAAATATGTGTATTTTATTGCAGTACAGTAAGCGCAAACAGTATTATGACATTCACGTAGAACTAAACATTTTTTAAAAAATCTTATTTTCTCCCATTTTTTTATATTTTATTTATTAAATTATGTTTTATACCTAAATATTTGATGTTAAATGAAAGCCCTGTTTCCCCTGAATAAAATTATATATAATAAGTGTGGGTGCACGTAATATGAAAGAGTTGATTTAAGTCTGAACAGACATATAGCGCAATTTCAAGTTTTTGTTTTGATCACAACGTGTACATTTGGCTCAGTCCTTAAGGGGTTAATAAGTGTGTAGGGGTTTATAAAAATATCCCTTCCAGTCTCTTTAGAAATGTTGCCTTTTGTTGTTAGTGTAGAAGATGAGCTTGCACTTTAATCGCCATTGGAGTGATGCTGTAAACCCGTTATTTATATGTACTGGGGGGGGATTTTGGATATATTGGAACGTTTGCATTTGCTGCTCTTAGGAAACATAAGATATATTATCTTTTATTTGAATTCATAAATCAAAAATCTCTAAAATACAACGTGGATCTAAAATGAAACTGTATGGAGAATATTTTATTTGAATGCACTATTAATCTCTTTTTCCGTTTTATTTGCAGCATGGTTGTCAGAATGTATTTCAAAACAGGGTACAAGTTAATGGAAAGGTAAGTTTTATTGCTTTGTTTTTTTGTTTTTTTTTACTGCTCCATCTATGTGAGAATTATTACTGTTTTGCTAAGAAATTGTATATTAATTGATATTTCTAAAGACCAATTCTCAAGTAAAATTCACAAAGTGGAGCACTTACGACACCTTTAGAACTTTTTCCCACAATGGAACTTTATAGATAATCATCTATTTAAAAAAAAAGAAAAAAAAAAGACTTGTATAGATGTTGATTTTAAACAATGTACTAATTTGAAATGGTTTTTCTCTAAACTCTAAAAGTTCATGGCCCAAATAAAGCCAAAATAATTCATTAATGTGCATTCAGATGCCAAAACTTAGACATTGATCATATTACATATTAAGTGGACACTATAAGCACTAAAACAACAATTGTACAAATGTAGAATTTAGTGAGTTACAAATTCATTTTCTCTCTCGACAGCTACAGATTACCAAGCGTTATACCCATAGTTGTAGTAGGTTTACAAATCTTGTGATGCTCAGGCAGCCCTAAATAATCATTCCAATGGGTCTAAATATTTCATTTCCTTTTATGCTAGTAGTCCTTTACACAGTATAGAAAACAAACCTGTAAATGTCTAAGTTTAGAGTTACTCTTTCACCTCTTCGATAGGATTTAGTTTTCTATATTTTGAAGTATAGTTTGAGGCTAAGCACTAACGTAAATAGCACTAATATATGGCTTATGTTATGACGCTCCCCTTGCAACCTCCTCCCACTCTCGCGCCCCCCTCCCCAGTGAATAAAAGGTTATTTACTTACCTTATCCCAGCACCAATGTTCATTGGCGTTGAGTCGAAGCATCGCCTCTGTCCCGCGACAAGTGGGCTCTAATGCGCATGTGCGGCAAATGCTGCCCATGCATTAGACTTTCCCATAGGAAAGCATTGAATCAATGCATTCCGATGGGGATAAATCTGACGCTGAATGACCTTATGCAGGATGCCCTCTAGTGGCTGTCTGGTAGACAGCCACTAGAGGCTGACTTAGTGTTGCAATATAAACATTGCAGTTTCTCTGGAACTGCAATGTTTAACATTGCAGCACTAAGAGCAACAGGGACACTGTACTTGAAGTGGTCTGGGTGCCCACAATGTCCCTTTAAGAAATTATTGGACCTGTTGCTGACACCTAAGGGTCTTGTATCTGGTGGAGGTGAATTGATGCAGCTTTAAGAAAACACATAAGAGAGTGGATAGGGGTGTGTAATTGGGGGTGACTAGAAACTTTTGGGGGGGGAGTTAATCCCACAGGAAGCAGAAAATTGGATATCAACTGGCCCCTTTAGCATGAAAAGGGTTACCACCTCATAAGGTTACCTCTTGGGGCCAGCAAATGTCTCATTCAATGGCGAAACTAAAGTTGAGAGGGCCCTCGTGCAAGAATTGTTTTTGTGCCCTCTGTCGCAAGGAGAACCAATTGTAGACCTCCATCTTGTCCAACTCCCACAAGGCTTTGTCAGCTGGGGATCTTCCATTTGTCCATTAGACATGTGCAATTCGTTTCTTTCCGAATGTACATTCGTATTAATTTCTTGCCATTCGGACATTCGGATGCTGCCGAATGTCCGAAGTGCCAGGGTTCAAAAGCGCCGAAGTTCCAAAGTGACGAAGTTTGGTAGTTTGTAAGTGCCGAAGCTCCAAAGCTCCCAAGTGCCGAAGTGATTCGGATTTCTGAAAAGTGGCAAAACAAGAGAGAGGGAGGGAAAACTACGTGAATGATGACAAGAATCTTAAACAATAAGCTAATTCCTTTAGTGCAATGTAATGCTTGCTTGCCCTATCGGTTTCACTATTCAATGAAATGAGCAAATTTTTGAGATTGATGTCTGAGGACAGCCAATTAATGGTGATTTTGTCACTGACACTTGGCCCATGAAGGCACACAGAGTCATTGAGGTGGGATAGTATATACAGGCTGTCAGGGTGTCGGCTTGCATTAGACATGTGCAATTCGTTTCGTTCTGAATGTACATTCGTACGAATTTCGTGGAATTCGGACATTCGAATGCTTACGAATGTTCGAAGTGCCCAAGTTCCGAAGCGCCGAAGTTCCAAAGTGACGAAATTCGGCAGTTCCAAAGTGCCGAACCGAATGCTATTGGTCCGAATTGCCAAAGCAGACAAATTTTTTTACTGAATCGAATTTCCGAACAGAACCAAATTTTTTGCCCATGCACATCCCTATTGTCCATCCTTTAAGAGATGTATTTAGCACTGAGCAGTGTTTGTGTGTTTGAATGTAAGCTTATTTTTGTATGGAGTATGTGTGGGAATGAAGGGGTGTATTAGTTTGTAGTGTTGTGTTGTGTTGTGTGGTTTTCTGTACTGCTACTGTTACAGACCCCAGCATGTATGAGTTAATTGATTTTACTGTACCCTTCAGTGCAAAAAAGATAAGGAACAAGTCATGCTTTTCTCTACTTCAGCATAGTAAACATTACATAGACCTTAGTGTCCTGGTAGAGTTAGTATGGCAGTTCGCAGGAAACGTGCCTTTCTGCTAACTGGAGGTCTGCATCAGTGGAGACAGACAAATGTAGCATGCATGCGTATATTAAAGGCACAGGTGAATGATAGATACATGTTGGTGTTTTTTGACAGCAAATATCTACCAGCTAATATTTATCACCCACATTTAAAAAAAAACCTACGGTATTTTCTCCTTGAAACATCTATTTTATATTGCAACGTAGGGTTGGTTGAAAATTCTGCATAATTCAGAGACCGGAGTGAGTGTCTAGTTGCAGTAAGTAATGGAATGAATCACCAAAACCTCCAAGCACTGAGCAGGATTTCTAAGTATAATGAAATTTAATTTCAATTTACAGCCAGCGTCAAACAAGAATACAACGACGTTGACCACATGGTAACCTTTATTGAGGGATTAGATTTAGAAAATAATGTACTGCAACATGAACTTTTGGAATTCATGGGTTTATCAAAATATTTGGGGGGATGAAAGTGAAGACAATATAACATGGAATGGATATCCATCTATATTCTGAAATAACATTAGACAAACAAAGTGGCAGAAGACAAGTGCAGTAATACTTTTGTCCTACATGCTTGTAACAATGATAACAACTTCAGAGGTTATAGAAGTCTAGTGGCAAATACAGTGGAGGCTCGTCAATAGGGGAACTGGGGCAATGCCCCAACACGTTTTGTTTGGAAAAAGCTATTTTCAATATTTTAGAAACACTGAGATTCCTTTGTGGAGGCAAGGGGTGTAATCTACAAAAATGGGGAAAATGTTAACTTACTCCACCCATTGCCTATGTATTTGCAAAATAATAAAATAAAAAAATCTGTCTTTTTAATTCTGAAATAGGTCTCTGCTGGTTCCCTCCCCCTTATCAGTGGCTTTATAGAGAAGCTTTCTTGAGAGCAACTAGACATATCAAAAAATGAGACAGATTTTAAATCTGTCCTGTTTCAATGTGGTTTTGCACATGCCTAGTCTCCTTTGAGAAGAAATTTCAGGGGCCTGAGCTGCAGGCATGAGAGTTCACTCTCACCATTTGGACTATCAAGGCTTACCCACTGGACCACCAGGGATTAGTACTGTCCCCCCTCCCAGGCAAAGGTTAACAGGGAGGAGGGATATATATATTATATATTTATTTTATATATATATTTTTTAAAGTATATATTTATCTTCCCTCCTACCCCCACAGACCCACAATAACTCCCTCTATAAACACAATTACCCCCATACACATACACACACTCTATCCCCCATACACTCACATACTACCCCCCCACACAGACTGCCCCCACATAGAATGATCCATACATACATACACACACACACACAGACTGACCCATACACACACAGACTGACCCCCCACACAGACTGACCCCTACACCCACACAGGCTGACCCATACACACAAACACACTGCCCCCACACAGACTGACCATACACACACACACTGCCCCCCACACACAGACTGACCCATACACACACACACACAGACTGACCCAAACACACACAGACTAACCCATACACACACACACACACACACACACACAGACTGACCCAAACACATACACATGAACTGACCCATACACACACAGACTGACCCATACACACACACAGACTGACCCGCCCACACACAGACTGACCCACACACACACGGACTAACCCATACACACGCACAGACTGACCCAAACACTCGCACAGACTGACCCATACATACACACAGACTGACCCATACACACACACAGACTGACCCATACACACACACACAGACTGACCAATACACACACAGACTGACCTCCCCACACACACAGACTGGCCCCCTCACACACAGACTGACCCCCCCCACACACACATACTGATTTACACACACTGACACACACTTACCAGCAGCTGCCTGGATGTCTCATTACGCCCACACTCTGTGCAGCCGAGCTTCCTCTCCCTGTCTCTCCCCTGCGCTGCTTTCTATGACCCAGCAGGAAGTTCCTTCCAGCACAGTGCCCCCTTTGGCCGCACGTGGGAACTTCCACGTAGGATTCCATACTCACCTATGTGCACCGCCCACAGTCTGGAGGGACAATCAGGCAAGTGTGGGAACTGACAGCACTGCTGCTGTAGCTTGTGAAGGGAGACTCAGTGCTCTATTTCAATTGGGGGGGGCTTCATCACTACATGATGTATGGGGGCCATGGCCCCCTTTGGCTACCCCTAGCGACGCCCCTGGACCCACCCTTCGTTCTTCACATAGGGATGGTTAATGAGGCCAAGCAAATTCATGGTTCGGGGCTCATGTCTATCCCCTGGGCCCTAGGTGGCTGCCTTATGGTTTATTCCGCTCTGACCCCAATGGCATATTGCTAAATGCATAGCACCACCTGCGTTTATGAAAGAAGGGAAAGACGGTTCGTCAAGTACATGACAGAGTGAACTGAGGAACACAATTCAATTCCTATACAGGTGTGTTTGGAGCACCAGAGAACAAGAATAAAAACTACAGGCAAAGATACGGAAATAGACATTTTCCACTCCCATTCAAAATCCCTCTTCAAGAATGTACGTCTTCAGATACAGGAATCAATGCAACCAATGGGAATCCAAGATTTAGTGACCTATTCCTCTTCACGGTAGGGGAGCAGAGGGGAATGGTAAGAGTACCAAATCCAAAGACTTTAACAAGAATGCATTCCAATAATTTACAGCGCTGCATGCTGGGAGAGATAACTATCCACACATAAAATGTTGCTTACAATCTGTTGTCATTAGTTTCCATCCATATCTGCAACATAGTAGGTTCATTGGTCTCTTACCAGAGTCCAGGTAAACATTGTTTGGCTTCTTTACATTCAGCATTATGTTATTGGTTATCATATCATTGGATTCCATGCATCATTATAAGAAGAATTTGACAGAGACTGGAGAATGGAGTTTGTGGTATAGGTTCCCAATTCTATAGGTTTTCTATTCTTTTTTATGAGAAACATTGGCCTGGTCCAAGGTCATCACAACT